TGAGCCCGGAGGGCGAATGGTTTGTTTTTCATGAATCTACGCTTATCCATTGTATCTATAACTTAAACTATTGTGTTAATTTCTTTTCAAAATTAAAGCCTTTTCTTAATTAGAAGGTATTGTAAGTGAGTTTAAATAACCATGTTATCGTGTCCAATGATGCATTGATAAATCTAAGATCACAATTAATTGGTTAACAAAATACAAATATAACACTTCTACCTTTAAAGATCTTTATATTATCAGGCATCTGAATATTATCTGTTTTACAAAATAAGATATATTCGAACTTATTTCTAATAGAATTGAGAATGGAAATGGGGAATGTGTCAAAGAGACAACAACCCGACCAAAGAGCATATATAAAGTATATATAATAAGTATGTTACCGAAATTTATAGCACTCTAGGCACATCACGATTTTCTCGCATAGGAATTTGCGAACAAACATTTGTAAAATTATGTAGTAAAACAGATGAAATCATACTATATTTATACAACAAAAATTGACAAATAGAATGTAATCATTTTTGTTTCAAACATGTGAAATAGCCAATGATAATCCAAAAAATAAACGGTAAAACTCGCTATTATTACAAAAATATCCACTATAACATGCAAAATTAGAAAATAAAAAACAGAATTGTGACAACAGGGTTAACACAGGGATTCGAACCTAAATCGACAAATCCCTGTCTTTTAACTCGTTGATTTTAAGCATGCTAACCTCGTGGCGACCAACTTATACTATACGACTGCCCATTGTGTAAATATAAAGGGACAACCCCTGCGTGTCGGATGTTCATTTATATATATAAAATAGACATCTAAGTTGTAACCCATTGGTAGCCGAGAGGTTTAGTCGATGTGTTGATGTCAGTCATTCATAACAGATTTCAAGGAAGGGTTCGATTCCCAGGGAAGGCATATACAAATTACAAAAATTAAAGGTAAGTTTTTAAATTAATTCCATTAGTGAACAGAAATCAGTAAATTAGCCAATTCAAACTTAATGAAATTAGACACACAAAGGAAACAATTGAATATAATTTGGTGAGTCCATTTCAGCGGCAGATTTAGAAAGCGTTGATTTTAGAAAAAGAATCCACGGTAAATGAATAGGCTGACGTCACCACAATGGTTTAATTTGTTTTCTTTCACTGTATCGTGATCAAACCTATCCATAAACAGTTATTGCTAACGCATCGTAAAACTGCTTCTTATATGGGCGGGGGTTGAATCAGATATTGATACTAAAAAATCCAATAATGTTTTAGAGTACATACAATCCAAGTCTCTTTCCTCAGGCAACAGTATAAAACATTTGCCTTCTTTACATTTTTAACTAGTATTCTCCATTCAAAACATAAAGACAGATAGAAAGAACTAGTCATATTTTTTTTTCAATATAAAGAATGGTCAATGTAGATACACTAACATAGTCAGGATTAATCATACCTTGTAAAACCATTCTGATTCAAACACAAACTTCTGGCTGACATAATCAAGACGCTTATTGTTATGGAAGCCAGCTAAAAGTATTTTATAACCATGCTGATTTAGAAGTCATCTTCTCATATTGGGCACTTTACTTTTAAGTAAAATTCTTACAGCTATGACATTTCCAGAAAAAGCGGATTCTTGGACAGCTACAATTTAGTAAAGAACTTCAAATTGAACATTTTTATAATGTTTCAAACTGTAAATAGACGAATCAATATAACATATGTTTGATTCGTATGACGCATGCATAAATGTAGACGCCTACCATGTCGACACACCCGATCTCGCTCCGTTTGGAGTTCATGTAATTTCCTAAAGAATGTTTTGTATCTTGTTTTGTAAATTTGAAATGGATTTACGCGTTTTTAACATCGAAAGACTAGCTACTAGTACTGTTGCCTCTGATTTAATAAATGATCTTTTTTTTTCTTATTAAAACAAAAATCTCTAAAACTTTAATAATAATAAATCATATTTCGATTTACTTTGATATGTAGTTTATTTTCATCTCCACAACAAAAAGAAAGATATGATATAATTTATTACATCACTAGTTTCTGGAATAAATTTCATAAGGAACGCTTGTGATAAAAAGTATGAAAAGTCAAAAATATGAATAGATACGAACTCCGTAATTCGTTTATGCATTTTCTATTCATAAATTTACCCATAATGTAATATAAAAAATGTGTTGACAAAATCAATGAGTGGAGTGAATGAATTGATCCACTAGTAAACGAATTTCAGTCTGAAACGGTAATTTTGATCTTAACATCATATAACACATCTGAACAATAGAGTATTAAGTAAATTTGTCAAATTCATCGACTGCGGTAAATTCAGTACTGTTTAGATTATTTGCTTGCAGTTAATTCACTAATGTTCAGTAGCTTTTCAGACAATTCAGTGTGTTGTTAGTCTGAACAGGTAAACAACAACAACTGGACAGTCTTGAATGGATTGAACAGATCTTATTTGGCTGCATTCTAATTATCTGAACAGTACTGAATTTACCGCAGTGGATAATTTTGAAAAATTTACTGAAAAACTATAAAAGGCTTAATATTTTATTGTAGAGTCTTATAAGAGCGGTTCAAATAAAAAAGACGGTCTCAGACTAAAATTTATTTACTAGTTATCGGCACCACAAGGAATCAGGATGTATGGTTCACAGTTTTATGCAACATACTCTATTGACTTTACCTTGGAGTTCGGTATTTTAGTGATTTCATTTTTTATTCAAAATATATCTCCATCTAAAAAAGGGCTTGTTCAATATATATAAGAATATGTCATTGCTTATCGTTTATATTAACTGTAGATATCTGATGAGCAACGTTTTGAAAAATAGTATAGAATATCTCTAAAAGATTGTTTTGTAACATTTGGAATGATGAGGGAAAAAATACACTCTGCATGGATGGATCACGATTTGTAAGCACCTTGAACTGACCTTGATACTTTTATGATGAATTTTTACGAATCTATAACTATAGCGTAGAAATAAATTCAATCGATTTCATTTTTAAAACCATTCGCCGCATAGAAAGTATTATCAAACAGGTAAATCTTCTAAAATTTCATATTCACTGGTGTCGTACAAGTTTATAATCTCTTGATTCATCATTTATACATTAATATGAAAAATTTACGTTGATATTGGATTGATATATATGTAAAAAAATATACGTAAATAAAACTAGAATTGCTTATATATACCGGGCAAGTACATATCATTAGGCTTTGTAGCATATGTATGAATGTTAAAAGGATAAGAAAGTTTGAACAAATAACTGAAAATTAAAATAAGCATAATTCTTTATATATTTTTATAGTAAAAACCTACCCTAGTTGTACCGAAGAAATAATCCTTTCACCAAAAAGGAACGGTTTATTTATTTTCGTCTATTACTGTTTAATAATTACAAATTCCATGAATTGACAAATAGATTGAAATATACTTAGTATATGTAAAAGAATGATAATCCCTTTCTTCATGATTAAGTACAAGCGCTAGCGTTACCATGTAATGTAAAAAAATGTTTCCTGATTGTGAGTATGAATGTAAATCATGTAATATTTTAGCGAGGAATTAATTTTTTGTTTATTTCCAGTTCAAATCAAAATTTGAGTTACAACTAAATTTTTATTTTACAGCCAATATTTTAGTCCGGTCCTTTACATCAACTGCTACTTCATTATGTCAGGGAAATGTTCAAATACAATGCCTTTAAAAGTTTAAAATATATTCGAAAAAAATAAACTAAATTCGTTTTTTTCTTAGAATTTTATCAGAACATTGGAAATTACTATTCTCACAACCGCGGAATAAGGAATCTGAGTTTTTGAAAGAGTAGAAGCTAAAGATTTAGGTTTTATTTAATTTCAAAACTTGTCTTTCTTTTTTTTTTGCCTAGCTTTTATATTTTATTTTTTAGTTATTTGAAGTTATTAATATTCTCATAATAACGTTAACGATACCAATGTAACTTCACCAGTAAACTTCATCTCATTTTGATTTTTTTTGTTTGTTTCAAAATTTTACTTTTAATTCTTTCAAACTGACAAATGTGCTTCGGGGCATTTGTAACTCTTTTATAGAAACTCTTTGTTTTAAACTGTAAGTAGGCCTCAACAATAGGATAATCCCTTACTAAGAACATGATTTCATTCATTCTTCACAATTAAGAAACACCAAATCCTACAATTTCATTGATCGAGAGCACTTTGCTATATTTGAAAGTCGGTTTAATGCAAATTATAATCTATAATCAATATGAGTTAGCTGCAACTTGATCATATATTGTTTTAATGATAAATAGGAAATAGTTGCTAGTTTTTTTTTTAATTCTTACAAAATGTTACAAAATCTCAAAACTTAAAAAAAACCAATATGCGGTATTCAAAAAGAAAAACAATGAATAAAAATTTCAAAAAAAGGAAAAACAGGTAAACTCAATAATATCTGTATCAACACCAACTAACAAACAGTTAGCATATTGCATACTGCTCCCGAAGCTCCGCAGTCAATGTTTGACATTGATCGTTATCAATATTTTTTTAAATATGAATTCAGGGCTGATATTATCCGAATGTATTTATCTCTCTTTGTCTGTCCCAACTTTTGGTTTCTAAGAGTTCCATGAAATGCTAAATCCACAAAAGTGCATAAAAATCAGAATGAATCTACACAATCTGATTATACTACAGATCATATGTCCAAGCTTTGTAAGCTTTGTAAGGTTATATACAGGATTCGTTTTTTAATCAGATCAGTTACTTACGAGACTGTACTAAAATAAAAGTTTAAAGTACAAATTCATATATCTGATACACTAATTAAAATGAACACATGTCTTTTCTTACCAGAATAATACAAAAACATCAGTGTAATTAGTTTAATTATACCATACAGTTTATATCTACCCCTCATATTACAAGAAAAAAACACTCAAAACAATTCTTAATATGAAAAACAGAACATTTAACAGGCGCACACTTAAAATAAAAATCATTTACGATTTGTTTTCCTAACGAATGTGTTTATAACGACAAGAACATGTTATTTTGTAAAATACGTATTCTAATGTTCTCCTGTATGATGGGACAGTTGCAAAGTGACATGATTTCCATGCCTTTAGTTGATAACATTGGAGCAACCCTAAAAGCCGATTTGGATGTAACCAAGATGAATAAATACTTGCATGAATATATTCAACAGGAAGTTAGCATAGGCGTCTTGAAGGCCATGGGAGAAACGGTCGAGAAAATGGTAGAAAATAAAACGCATGCTGTCCAAACAGAACTTGAAGGTAAATATACTTTCAATGTTATCCGAAGTATTCATATTCACTACTTTAGGTATACATTTCCAAGAAAGCTCATTTTAAGAGTAAATGATGTCACTTGTCATCCGTCCGGCGTCTGTTTTTAAAACAAATGTTTAGTATAATAATTCTCTTTCTGGGCAGTTGTTACAAACTTGAATAAATTTACATAATAATGACTTGTTTGAACCACCCACTTTTTCACCAATATACCGTAGTCGCTGTTATAAAAATATGGGTTCACAGGGAAAATGGTAGATTACTTGTCTTTTTATAATTCCATTTTAATAGTTAGTTTACAGTTAACTGCGAATATTGATCCAGTTGATTTTAAAAGATTTTTTTTCCCGTTTAAAATCTCTTTTGCATATACAAAGATTACTAGAAGACACAAGTGAAATCGCAGGAATGCAAAGACTATAATGTATATTTTTCATTTTTTAAATTGAAATTCGAAAGCAAACTGATATTTAAGTTTAAGTATTTAATAATAATGGTTCACTGTGATTCATTCTTTTTCCTTTTGTTTAGTTGTTGTTTGTTGCTATATAGGCAAAGTATTTCCCTGTGGAGAAACTCGAAAATTTAATTTTCAGATTTAGGCAATACCCTAAAAAGGATACTGGACAAGAAGATTTTTTGACATAGAAAAGATGAAATATAATTTGGTTTCATAATTATAAAGTTAGACATTTCAAACAAAAAAATATTGAGAGAACTCTTCTGATCAAAAATTTAATATTCACTGCCTGTTGACCATTCAATCCCTTCCTTCCTTTTAACATTCTATCGGAGAACACATATTCTGATAGGTTTTAACAGTTCTGTATTAAGTATAAAATCATTTTAGTGTATTGTAGAACATTTAATTGTTATACAATCATATAGCTGAATAAAAACCAAAAGGAAATATGTCACTCTACTTTGAGAGACGAAAATTCTATTTGCTCATAAATAGATAAAACTGTTTGAAATCATCTAATAAAAAGGATAGAATATTTGAAAATTTTGAAACCCAAAAATAATTAAAAGCTTTAATTTTTATAACAAATCTAAATATTTGTTTTACTTCGAAAACGAAGTAAACAATACTATTAAATTTAATCACTATCTATAAAACTCTTTGTAAAGTTGACTTTAAGATATTTCATTGTTAAAGTTTCCCCTTTCTTTACAACCTAGACACTTATATCTTAAAAGTACTTATATTATTTGTGTGTTACTTTTGTAATTGATCACTCATTGTTCTGATTTATATCTCATATTATATTAATTTCCAAGGCCAATATTTTATTGTGTCCTGTATGTCCAGTTTCATTCATTTTTTGAAAAAAACGCAGGCTTTTAAATTGTTACTTATTGGGCTGGATAATAACTTTCTCACAAAACCCGGGTTGTTTCACGTTTAGTTATTTATCATGTTGATAATTTGATGACTATGTTGAACGCAGCGATCCCATCGAACTTGAGATAAAGAATACAACAGATACCGTTAAGTCTTCCTCATATCTTGACTTACATCTTAAAATTGACAATGAGGGTAGGTTGAAAACAGAACTTTACGACAAAAGAGATGATTTCAGCTTCCCAATTGTGAACTTTCCATTTCTATGTTGCAACATTCCAACAGCGCCTGCATAGGAAGTATATATCTCCCAGTTGATACGATATTTCAGGGCTTGTATTTCCTATCATGATTTCCTTGATAGAGGGTTGCTGTTCACAAGGAAGCTATTAAACCAAGAGTTCCAAGTGGTGAAGTTGAAATCATCCCTTCGTAAATTTTACGGACGCCATCACGAGTTGGTTGACCGTTATGGAATTTCCGTTTCACTGATGATAGCGGATATGTTCTAAATGTCGTAACTACAATCCCGTCCCCTTTTCCCCGAATGTGACCTACCGAATTCGACTATTTACCGGATTTGTACTAACATGAGCAATACGACGGGTGCCATATGTGGAGCAGGATCTACTTACCCTTCCGAAGCAACTGAGATAACCCCAGTTTTTGGTGGGGTTCGTGTTGCTTAGTCATTAGTTTTCTATGTTGTGTTTTGTGTACTGTTGTTTGTCTGTTTGTCTTTTTCTTTTTTAGCCATGGCGTTGTCAGTTTATTTTCGACTTATGAGTTTGAATGTCCCTTTGATATCTTTCTCTTCTCTTTGATAAGTTTGGTTTTTATTTATATCTTAAATAGGTTCTGAGTTCATCGTGCAGACAATAGTAGTCAATTGGAGCTCTAGAATTTTTCAGTTATTAAGATAATTTTTAATAACTAGTGAAAAGACCAAAGTATTAGTTTTCTTAAAAGCTTGTTTGTCATCAGCATCTTTGAATGTGATCAGAAGTGCATTACTAGTATGTAAGGTACGTTCTGTTATTTGTTTAGGACTTCAGTTTAGAAGTGCTTAACGTGTATATTAGGTGGGGTTGCAATTACTACGAAAATTTAATATATAATATGAAATCATGGTAAATATATTGTTTACTACAGATGACTGAGAAATAATAGAAGTTTCTGTAATGGATAATGCAATGTAGAATGCTAAAAGGAAAGAAGAGATTGAATGGTCAACAGGCCGTGAATATTAAATGTTTGATCAGAAAATTTCTCTCAATATTTATCTGTATGAAATGTATATTTTTAAAATTATGAAACAAAATTTTATTCTCTCTTTTCTTTGTAAAAAAATCTAATTTATGTTTATGTTCTTTTATTGTAATTGTCATTCAAAAGATGAACGGTAGTAATTTTTGAACTGCTAAAAAATGTCCAAATTTAATTTTGAATTATTTCTTTTGAAATGGTGTTTTTCTATGCATGCTACAAAGCTTTCTTTAGATTAATCTCAAAATTACTTTGTGAAATGTACGTTCAGCTTAAATATGTTCTCTTGACGTTTCAAAGGGAGATAAGATCAATAGTTTAAACGATAACTGCTTTTAGACTATCTCCACTTATTAATGATGTATTATAATTTCACATATACATCCTTGGCTTTCAAATTTTCGGCTTTGAGCGTTCCTGATGAAGGTAAACCCAGAAAAGCGCTTCGGACGCATTAAATAAATAACGTGTTTTTTTCATTTTTTGTGTTACCCGTGTCCGTCCATCCGTCCGTACTTACATCCCAAGATTGGTTTCTATTTTCTAATATTAGTTTGTCTCGACCAAATGTTATGAAACTTATTCACAATGTTTATTACCACAGAGTACAGATTAAGTTAGAATTTGGGTGGTATCACTTTTACCGTTCTCTAGTTGTGCCCCTTTATAACGTTATATGCAAGCGGGGGTATCATCTGTGTCCCATTGACACATTCTCCATTTATTTTTGCCATAACGTGGTTAGTTTGTTTATTGCAATAAAATTGAGCATTTGTGTTTGCATTTATATAATATATTCATTTCATATATTAAAATGCAACACATATTTTATGATCTTCGAATTAAAATTTGGCATTGTCTTTTATAGATTTAAGGCTACAACTAGATTGACCTCAGGGGAATTTGACTATTCATTTTAGGTCCCATTTGATCATATAGTTTCTCCAGTTTACAAATATTTATTCATCTTTGACTTTCGTTTTATTTTTTGCGTTTCTTGTTAAGGTAAAACCAGAAAATCGATTCAGACACACTAAACTTTTTAAAGTGTTTTTTTTTTTATTTACATGCACATCCTTATTATTGCATCGCAGAAATGGTCTTTAACGGGAAGCTTGATACCACAATTTATGACAAAAGAGATGATTTTTCATTTCTTATTGTTAATTATTCATTTTTAGATGATGACGTTCCCTTGTCACCATCTTATGGTGTTTATATATCTCAACTTGTTCGATTTGCTCGTTTATGTAACAACGATTTGATTTTAACGAAAGAAATCTCTGTATTACGGAAAAATTATTACACCAGGGTTTTCGATATCACAAACTAGTCAAAACATTTACTAAATGTTATCATCGGTACAAGGACAGCATTCGTAAATATAAATTAACATGCAGACATCTTATACGTTCAGGTATATCACATTCAATCTTTTATGGTACACAAAAATGTCGGCATTCACCTCAAAAGCTAACCAAACCTTTAAACAGACTTATTCGGAAGGGATATAGTTACGATACTGTTGTCAAGTCATTAAGGATTGCATATTTTGGTATTAATATTGATTCACTCATAGGGTCTTTGCATCGTAAATAAACACATTTATTCTAAAACCAGTTGTTGGCATGATACGGGTTATGTTCTTCTCATATATTTTATGATGGTATGATACTAAACCCCTAACGAGAGGGATTGTACTTGATATTCATATGATGAAGACATAATCTTTCAATCAGTGTAATTGAGGTCTGAAGCTGGCATGTCTGTAACTTCTTATAGTCCTTTGTTGATTTATGTATCATTGTCATTTTGCTTGGTTTCTTTTGTTACCTATTCTGACATCGGACTCGGACTTCTTTTAAACTGAGTTTTACTGTGCGTATCGCTCTGTGTTTCTTTATTCTACATTGGCTAGAGATATAAGGGAGGGTTAAGATCTTACAAAACATGTTTAACCCCGCCGCATTTTTGCGCCTGTCCCAAGTCAGGAGCCTCTGGCCCTTGGTTAGTCTTGTATGTTTTTTAAATTCAGTTCATTTAAATATTTTGAAGTTTAGTATGACGTCCATTTTCACTGAACTAATACACATTTTTATTTAGGGGCCACCTGAGGACCACATCCGGGTGCGGGATTTTCTCGCTGCGTTGAAGACCCATTGGTGGCCTTCGGCTGTTATCTGCTCTCTGGCCGGGTTGTTGTCTCTTTGACATATTCCCCATTTCCATTCTCATTTTTATTAAAAATGTTACTTATGATGATAAATATTATATTAAAAAGATAAGTACAAACCAGATAATAAATAATCATGACATGGTAATTGAATTCATAATTTAAAAAATGCAACGTCTATATAACCGATTGCGAGATGTTTCTCAGCCTTGGCGATATATTGTAAAATATCTATATTTCTACTTACGAGGTGATTATTATCCATGCCTAATTGTTCTTTCTATATCTTATTAGCAAAAATTGCACACCAGATGAACCAGTTTGAAAAGAAAGGTAAATATTATAGTATCTATCCAAAACATATAACGCACTCGAATATTACAAATTAATCTATGGTCAAATTTTGTACTATAAATTACTCAATGAAATTAAATCATGTTTTCAATACGCTGAGTTCATAATTGAGTTTTACCCATCTAGAATCGGTTAATCTAATAGTCATTTGAGCCAAGAACAAAAATGAAAGCGATAAACCAGTAACCACTTTATAAAGGCAACCATTTCCGATATTGTCTACAATTTCTTTTAATATTTATAGACCGAACCGTATTATGTATGAAAACGATTTGTATCAATCATCTATCATGTTGCCAGGTTTATAATTGTTAATCTGATCTTGCAAGCTTTAAATTTTTAATTAAGATTTTTTATATGGAAATCGGAACAGTTGACTGCGAAAAAAATCTCGCTTTGAAAAAAGTGTTAGATGACAAAAACTAACAATTCCATGTGTATTGTCTATTGTATTTAATCGCAAGAAATATCTATCAACTTTATAGATTGATAGAACAAACCAGGATCGACCCTCAAATTCATGGATAGTTCAGCTTATCATTTTACTGTAAAAATTATCATGTTGCCATTGATTAGATATAAGAAGGTGTGGTATGAGTGAGTGCCAATTAGACAACTCTCCATCTAAGTCACAATTTGTAAAAAAGTAAACCATTATAGGTCAAAGTACAGCCTTCGACAAGTATGAATCAGCATATAAGCTCTAATTCTGTAAATTTTAATGGTAGATTTATGAGTATTCGATTTTACGGGCCATTTGGTAAAATCTCTAAAATTGATATTGATTGAAACCTCATATAAACCTCTAAAACCACCCGTGATTGTGTATTATATTTTGGTTAGGAAGATTAACTCTGGCTTTAAATTTTAATGGTCGAAAATTAAGATGCAGAACTGAGATAAAAACTTTGGTCATTATTTATATCGTCATATTCAAACATTTTTTGAAGCGTTGTAAATAAACCCACCAACCCATATCCCCTACCCCCTAAGTTCAGTAAAGATAACACATATTCTTTGACCCAGTCCTCTTTTTGTGCGTTTAAAAAAACTAGCACCCAAGATGTTAAATCGATATTCTTTTTCTTTCTATTTTTCTTGGTGTCTTGCTTAAAGGTGTATAGTTCAGTATCTAAATGTCACTCAAAGGTTTTTATGATTTATCATTTGTGCTTTTATATTGCATTTGACTTTTGTTCTTAATTTCCTGTCATGCATTAACTTTTGACGTCTCATCTTGGGGTCTTTTTCAACTTGCGTTATGATGTGAATAAGATTTTTATATTTTAAAGGTATAATTGATTTTCTTCTTAAATATTTTTCATTGTATATCATTAAATGTACATTGAATTGTATTTCAGCAATATTCTTTTTATCTGTATAACTTGACATAAACGACAGTTTTCAGTAAAAAACGCTGTAGTAGTCTCCATGTTTATTCTACATGTTTTTTGTAAATGTTCACGTTCGCTCGTATGTTTACAGATAGAGAAATGTATGCCCTTTTCGCACATCTGTCCTCGAGAAAGGAATCTCTGAATGATGAAACGGTGGTTATATTTGACAAAGCACCACTCAACGTCGGTGGTGGATACGATACTGCAAACGGAAAGTTTACATGCAAAGATGACGGTCTGTACTTTTTTTCTTGGACAACGCTATCACAACCGAGAAAAGATTTTACAAGTGCACTTTTTGTGAATGGGGACGGCATAGCAGAAAACATTGTAGATAATGATGAAACTGGCGATGCGATGACTGGGTCCAACAGTGCTGTAGTTCGATTGAGAAAAGGAGATTTAGCCTGGATAGGTGTTGTGGGAAGCGAAGGAAATTACATCAGATACACATGGACAAATAACATTCCTGCATCTGTATTTACAGGATTTAAAATTTACTGACGTAGTTGATACGCATTATGCTCATATATTGTCATATATGACTATATAGAATGTACTTGCAAATATGTAATTATTGATTAAAAGACTTTTCAATTAAATCGAACTCTACTTGAAGTTGGTAGAAAAGAATAGATATGAACTAGAGGTACATTAGAAAACAATTATATGATACTTTTTAGAAAAATAAAATTTCAAACAAATACATGAAAGAAAAATGCTGTTTTCTCGTCTTGACAGTTTCAATAAAGAATTGAGATAAAACCTCACACTTTTACAGCAAAATCAATACGACAACGTACAAGACAGTATGGTGATATAAACTACAAACACATATACGATGAAGGCATTATCAAGATCAACTAGAAAAACTAGACAATGAAAGTCTGTTTAAAATAAGAAATAAAAATGAATGGATAATATTGTAATATTTAAACAACAAGAAAAATAAAGTATGATGAAGAAGAATGAACATGAAAAATTATGTCATAAACAAACACTCAATACCTATAGCTTTGTAGTGTGGTTTTGTGATTTTTGTTTCGTATTATCGGTTTTTCTTCGATTTATGATTTTTTTATTGTCCCTTTGGTGTATTCTGCCTCTTTTTTTCGAAATATCTTGCAAATGTAGTATGATTGGCTATGAGATCTTATCCACCTCATAAATAAGGTCAATGATGTAAACAAAACTTGTCATCGTTCGGCCTTTAACAATGAGCAAAATAAATATAGTAAAATACGATATAGTAAACTAAGGTTCCAATGCCTTCAAGCAAAATTAATTCTTTAGTAATTTCTTTTTATGTCCCTTTAAGTTATATAGCTTTAAAAGTTTCTACGTATTTTTACATCCCTGGCTGCCAACTTTTGGGTTGGAGCGTTCCTGATGAAAGTAAATCCAGTAAAGCGCTTCGGAAACAAGTGAATAGATCTGCTTGATTTAAAGTTATGGCATCAAACGAAAACAATTATAACTATTGACAACTAACAACAAACACTGGTTCCTAACTTCGGACAAGCACCTAAAACATGTGACGGGATTAAACTGAACTGTACTCAGTGTTACACAATAACTGTGTTATGTATAAGAACGACTGAAATTGACACTACATAAGTCTTACAGTCATAATCACAAATGGGTTGATTGATACGATGTATCGGTGTCTCAACGGACTTAAATCATCTTGATACCAGTATAATTGTCTATTCTGTAATTTTACCGATTGTGTTCTATTCCCGATAATAAAATTTCTAGTAAGTGTTAATTGACATGGCGGGTGATGCATTTATAGCCAGTGACTCTTATTCTGTCGTCACACCCGGTCTCGGTCCTTTTGGAGTGCTTGCGATTCTCGCAGTGTTTGTTTGTTGCCTCGGATTGTCTCTTCCTATTCTATTGACCAGGGAAGTTAAGAATGAATCATTAGAACAATTTCTTCACGGTTCTAAAATCTGTCGATATTTATATTTTGGCATTTCACAAAGCCATGTTTTTCTTTGACTGTTAATGTCGTCTTTATACTAAATGCATTGGATGTTGGATGTGCACTGATTGATATTTTAGTCTTTGACACATGAGTTATCATTAGTTGTTGTTGGCTTTGAAATAGCTTTTAGTACCTGCAAGTACTATTAGATTAGGAGAGGGTTAGGCGCCACCAAACATTTCTAGCTCGGCCACATTCTTTATGTGCCTGTCCCAAGTCAGGCTGTCAGTGGTTGTCGTTTCTTGCTGTATATCATATTTGTTTTTCGTATATTATTCATAAATCAGACCGTTAGTTTATCTCGATTGAATTGTTTTACATTTGTCATTTCTGGGGCCTTTTATAGCTGACTATGCGGTATGCGTTTTGGTAATTGTTGAAGTTTGCAAGGTGACCTATAGTTGTTAACTTCTATGTCATTAGGTCTCTGATGGAGAGTTGTTGCATTGGCAATCGTACCTTCTTATTCTTCTTATTTCTATATAAAAAGAAGTTGAAAAGGAACTTAACTCTGCAGAACATTACTTAATAGAAAACAACCAACAACTAACAACGCTCAACTCTCTCCCCTACCAATGACAGTGTTGTACGAGTACAGCATTAGAAAAAAACAATCAAAAGCAGTTGAAAAAATTTTGCCTTATCGAAACGAAATCAATAACAAAAAACAACTAACAAAAGGACAAAAGAGGATTGTTTCAGTTAGCCATTTGCTATTTCAACACAAATAGACGATTTAAAACATTCATCATGCAATCACAAACTAGTCAAAACATTTACTAAATTTTATCATCGGTACAAGGACATCATTCGTAAATATAAATCAACAAGCAGACATCTTATACGTTCAGGTATTTCACATCCAATATTTTATTGTAATATTCTTTACAAAGCACAAAAATGTCGGCATTCACCTCAAAAGCTAATCAAACCTTTAAACAGACTTAATCGGAAAGGATATTGTTACGATACTGTTGTCAAGTCATTAAGGATAGCATATTTTGGTATTAATATTGATTAACTCATAGGGTCTTTGCATCGGAAATAAACACATTTATTCTAAAACCAGTTGTTGGCATGATACGGGTTATGTTCTTCTCATATATTTTATGATGGTTTGATACTAAATCCCTAACGGGAGGGATTGTGCTTGATTTTCATATGATGAAGACATACTCTTAGTTCCTTTTGTTACCTTTTCTGACATCGGACAATGACTTCTTTTTAACTGAGTTTTACTGTGCGTATTGCTATGTGTTTCTCTATTCTACATTGGCTAGAGGTATAGGGGAAGGGTTGAGATCTCACAAAACATGTTTAACCCCGCCGCATTTTTGCGCCTGTCCCAAATCAGGAGCTTCTGGCCTTTGTTAGTCTTGTATGTTTTTTAATTTTAGTTCATTTATATGTTTTGGAGTTTAGTATGACGTCCATTTTCACTGAACTAGTACACAATTTTATTCAGGGGCCAGCTGAGGACCACCTCCGGGTGCGGGATTTTCTCGCTGCGTTGAAGACCCATTGGTGGCCTTCGGCTGTTGTCTGCTCTTTGGTCGGGTTGTTGGCTCTTTGACACATTCCCCATTTCCATTCTCAATTTTATCATGCTTAAAAATTGTCTTACAAATTTCTAGCTGCTTTTCTTCTGACGTAAACTTTTGTAATTACATTAGCCATCATTTAATCTAATTTCATTATATTTTCCTTCTTCCGCACTTCATTTCGTCTAAAATAGATATGGTAAATGTAATGTTTTAGATATACTCATTGAGGATATTTTCTGGATCTTGTGTTATCCTTCCAATCACTATGTACAAAAAAGTGAATCTATCTTCATTCTTGTAGTTTATGAAGTGGATATAAGCAATTATAGGCTACCGTTCGGCCTTTAACAATGAGAAAAGCCCATACCGTATAATCGGCTATAAAAGGCCCCGACATGAAAAATATGAAACAATTCAATTGAGAAAACTAACGGCCTAATTTATAACAAAACACATATGACAGACATGAACCAACGACAACCACTAAACTACAGGTTTTCTATTTTAATCACGAGCATACCTGATGAAAGATATTCCAGAAACACGTGTCGGCACACAAAATAGTTTAATTTTTTTTCTTGACAGGCACCGCTACCGGTGGACAATTAGTAGCCGAAAAATACCATACGCCCTGTTGTAAATCGCATGTTTATCAAATTGTATCCGTGCGATCAAACTCAGATTGCATCATTTTTATGCAAGGTTTACCTTAAACGATTTTGAATGATCTTTGTAGGACCATTTTGTTTTCACGCTCTTTCTTTTTTCAGTTTTCCGACCAGGCTAATTTAAGAAACACATGGTGTGCACACAGAAACTATATTATGTTTTTTCCACAGACAATCTTTGTTGTAAATAGCAGCACATCACAACTATTTATCGCCAACCGACTGATGCATTTTCAAAATTGTTGAAAGAATGAAATACTGTTAACAGAAAAAAGTTAAGAAAACTTAACAAAATCAAATGTTAGATATATACATAACAGCCAACTAGGTGTAATAACGCGTTCTTAAAAAAGAGGCGAAGGATAACAAGGGGACACTCAAACTCATAAGTCAAAAATAAACTGAAAACGCCATGACAAAAAAGGAAAAAGACAAACAGACAAACAACAGTACACAACAAAGAAGACTGAGCAACACGAACCCCACCATTCTCACTGAGACCACTGATCTCAGGTGCTGCGGAAGGGTAAGCAAATCCTACTCCACATATGGCATCCGTTGTGTTGCTCATGTTAGTAAAAATCCAGTGATAAGTCTAATTCGGTAGGTCAAATTCGGAAAAAAGGGGACGGGATTGAAGTTACAACAATTGGACGCATGAATCAAATGCTTAACTCCACTACAATGCAGCTACGATAATTACATCAATTTGTCCAAAAACACAGTTATCGTGTTTTGATTTTTATTTTAAATATAGTCCATAATAAGAGCAGTGCTTCACTTGCAAGTTTTCTCCATACGTCTTCCCAATTTATTTCTTCATTATTTATGCAGGGGGTAGGGTTGGAAGTTGAAACTACACTGGAAAGGAATTTGGGTTATCATTTTAAAGAACATATTTATATCTTTTATTTTCATAGGTTTAAAATTACTTGAAGAAAACAATCACAATATTTGATTTAAAGCGACAGTTATTTACTGATGATCAAATCTTGTAAATCGATTAAGAAAAAAAGAATTGACAAAAATACCGAACGCCAAAGTAAATTTAAAACGGAGGAGGTCCACACAACCTGACAAAATCAAACGTTATACCATATGAACAAATGCACGAATGAAATACAACCTACAACTTGTATAACAGTTGTTTATAGTTCTGTATTATTGAAAAAAAAAATGTTTAAGCAACCCAAATGACATAATTGGATAATGTGACAAAAAATAATTGGGATCCATCATCCAAAATTGTGTAAACATACATCACAGACATACAATATAACTGACTTAAAAATTCAAACAAACTTACAAATCAGTCTGACAGAGACGATAAGAAAAAAACAAATCAAGGTACCAAACAAACAAACTGAGGGAAGCGCATGAACTCCAAAAGGAGCGAGACCAGGCG